TCCCCGGCATCGTCCGAACAAATCTGGGCCGTGTGGGGGCCATCTTGGCGCTTTCTTGGGTCCTGCTTTTTTCTCTTCCCACACGATCGACCTCTTCATTAATCTAAGCGCGCATGCGCGATCTGAGTCACCTGCTCCTTGACGCCTCCTGCGGCGACGAGGACGGTGAAACGGTGAAAATGCGGATGTGGATGCTGCTGCTGCTGCTGCTGCTGGCGACTGCGGGCTTGGGAACCTTTGGGGGGCGCTCGGGGCGTGTGGGAGCCTTTAGGAGCAGTTGGGAACGATTGGGGGAACATGAAACGCGTTGTGAAGATCAGCTGGTCTCCACCAAACAGTCGTTGTTGCAAGGGATCGTGAAGCCAGGATGTGTGTGCAGATGCGCAGATGTGCTGCTGCTGCTGGTGGATTACGGCGGGTTTGAAGGCGTTTGGGGTGCGATGGCAGCGTCTGGGGCGTGTGGGGGCACCTGGAAACGTCTTGGAGACCTGGTAGCGCGCTGTGAATATCAGCCAGTGTTCACCACATGATCTGTTAAAGGGATCTTGAGGCTTGGACGGGTGTGAAGGTCCGCAGATGTGTACCGATTCTTTTTTAACTCAAAACAATATGTTGATTGTGGGGTCGGTGTGAAATTTCGTCGATGACCACGGGATGGTCTGTTAGCAACGGTTTCGTGAGGGTTGGGGGTGTGGAGATCGGCACATGCTGATCATGCCTCCGCACGTGATGGTGACTGTTGGGTCGTTGTGAAGATCAGCCGATGCCCCTTCTATTGGCACGGGATCGCATGGGTTGGGTAGGTGTGGAGATCAGGAATTGTGTGTTCCATTGTTTTTTCCATAAGATGGTGCTCAATATGAGACGATCTTGCGATCAGCCGATGTGCACAGGGCCACATTTTTTTGACTGGAATCGCAACGGAGGTCGCGGCCAGGGGTCGGTTTGGAACCGATCGGGGGCCAGCCAGGGGGCGCTGCCAGGGTCTTAATCTCATAGGATGATTTAGTGCCTGCGCGGATCATTCCCTGTAGTCTCAAATCCTTCCCATCAGATCGACCTATCTTCTTATCGCGCCAACGCGGTCTTGCATTCTCTGCGCCTTCCAAGTGCAGCTGGGCCATCTCGGGGCGATCTTGGGGCGTGCCTGAGTCCTGCTGCACTCCCTTCCTATAATATCGACCTCCTCTGAAGTTGAGGATATGGGTGCTGCTGCTGGTGGCGACGGCGAGCTTGGGCGTGCTTAGGGGCGATTGGAGCGTCTGGGAACGCCTGGGTGCGTCTGGGGCTCCTGGAGCAGCCTGGGGGGCGCTTGGGTCCAACATTGGAGTCGGCGAGGGGTGCCCGAAACGTTTCCATGTATCATGTATTTGCCATCGAAAGCCTGATGTTCCGGCTTGTTGTTCCCAGGCGCTCCTCGGGGCCAGGGACATGTCGGTGCTTAAGTTCCGTTGATGCGCGCCGAGTTGATGTGCACCGACTTGCGATTTTGTAAAGGATGGTGACTGTTGGGCCGCTGTGGAGATCAGCCGATGGCCTCCGAATGGTTTTGTTTGTAAAAGATCGTGAAGGTTGGGGGTAAGATCGGACGATGCTGAGATCAGCCAGGACGCGGGACCTGAGCGCGGGCACAGGGATCGAGAGGGTTTGGAAGAGCCGACGTACACACCGCATCGTATTTTTGGAATAGGATCGCGTGGGGGGCGGAATCGGGACGTGCACGATCTCTGTGCGGGCACAGGGATCTTGTAGGTTGGGTAGGGATGAAGATCAGACAAAGTCCACGCCATATCATTCCCAATCTAGATTCTGCTCGAGATGAGATGATTTCACGATTTGCCGATGCGCGCTGTGCTTGTTTTTGCAGGGAGTGCAAAGAAGGTCGCGGCCTGGGATCAGTCGGAAGCCGGTCGGGGACCGGCTGGCGCCAGGTGAAAGGATTATATAGTTTTAAGACTAGAGACTCACAAGAGTTTGCGCCGATTCATCCCTCCCGCCCTGAGCCCTTCCCGAAATATCGACTTACTCAACAATCTGAACGCGTTAACGCGATCCCGATTCATGAGCTTCTTGATGCCTCTTGCGGCAGCGAGGGCGGCGAAGATGACGACGTGCGTGCTGAAGCTGCTGGTGGCGACGGCGAGCCTGGGAGCGCTTAGGTAGCGACTGGAGCGTCTGAGAGCGTCTGGGAACCCCTGGGAACGTCTGGGAGACCTTGGGGCGCGTGGGAGGAGCTTTTGAGGAACACATTGAAGCATTCCGGAAATCTGGGCGCGTCTGGGAGCGCTTGGAAGCCCTTAGGACGTTTGGGGCCTCTCTGAAGATCAGGAGATGTGCACTGCATTTTTGCGTAGGATGGTGAGGCTAGGTTCGATGCGGCCGGTGAGTGTTGGGCTGCTGTGAATATCAGCAGGTGTCCACAACATAGTTCCTGTTGCAGAGGAGCGCGATTATTCATAAGTTCGATGACATCAGGCCGCGTGGCAGATCAGGGTTTTATTATTCATTCAGTATTAGGGTCAGAAACTCAGGGTGAGGGGAAGATGCTAGGGTTTTGGGTGCCGGGGTTATTTCGGTAGTGTGGTACGGTAGGGTCCCGGAGGCAGAGGGCTGCGTGGCCAAACGGGGGGAGGGAGTGGCATCCGATGCTCGAGTCTGGGGGGGCTCCAAACCCCCTCCCCTTTGAAAGTGGGGCGGGGGTCCGAGACGACAGATTTGGAAAGTTGTTGGGGGGGGTGCCTGGGGACGACGGACCAGGGCAAGAACGGTGGGGGATGGGGGCGATCCTGGACCCTCCCCCCTTTCGGCATCCAGCGGCGAGCAACGGCAAACCCATGATTTTGATGGTACGTGTGTGCAAGACTACTGGGCCATATCAATATGCATTCCTGTATCTGATAAAACAAATTGAACAACCATTCCCAATCATTCCGTATTGAGTTGGGCTTTCATTTTGAATGCGCAACGCCTCGCGTCGCATTCTTCACCTCACTTGATCTCCCTCCTCCTCATCATGCCTTCCGTATCCCCGTGTCCATGTTGGCACACCCCTCACACGTTTCGCGGCCTCAAGGGGAGCTCCACCAGAGGCCCTAGTGACGATGTCCGCGTGTCGCTGCCGCGCCAGTTTCGGCACACTCCTCACTTGCTTCGTGGCCCCAGGGAGCTCCTCCGAAGGCCCCACTGGCGATGTCCGCATGACGCTCCTGCGCCCGTTTCGGCACACCCTCCACACGCTTCGTGGCCTCACATGCAGCTCCACCGAAGGTCCCAGCGGCGATGTCCGAATGAAGGCGCCGCGCATATTTCGGCACACTCCTCCCCACACGCTTCGTGGCCCATAAAGAGCTCCACCGAAGGCCCCAGTGGCGATGTCCACATGGCTCCATCTCCCTCTTCGGCACACCCTCACACGACTCGTGGCCTCATAAAGAGCTTCTCCGAAGGCCCCAGTGACGATGTCCACATGGCGCCTCTGCGCCCATTTCGGCACACCCCTTACACGTCTCGTGGTCCCATGAGGTGGCTTGACTGAGGTCCGCAATGCCATTGTCTGCATGGCGTTGCCGTACCCGTTTCGGCAAGTCCCTTCCTCATTTGTGGCACCACGCGGAGCTCCACCGATGGCCACAGCGGCAGGGCTTGCATGGCGCCGCTGCGCCCCGTGTCGGTACACCCCTCACACGCTTCGTGGCCCGCATCCGCATTGCCCCAGGGTCCATTCCTTTCGCTGCGTGCTGCATCTGAGGAAAGGGCCATATCCTGCGCTACTCGCAACTGTATGGAGTTGGGTTCTCCCCCAGGCTAACGGCTAACCATGGTACGAGTTGAGTAGCACATTTCTTGGTGATCATCGTGTCCACCACCATTGAACATCTTCGCTGGACAGTCAACGCAGCTATTTGCAAAAGAGACATGTTTCGACTATTCGAAAGTGGTTAAACAGTCTGACCTTGAGATCACATGTGCGATCGGCGCAAGGGGTGTATTGGGCTTTCCGAGTTTTTGGGAACTGTCCACACGAAGCTGCCAGACAGTGGCGAACGTGGAGAACAACATACGGATCTTGAGAGTTCTGCTCTCTCGGGTAAGTGCCTAAGGTACTGTATACATGTGTGTGTGCGCGTGTGCCAGTCCCCAGGAGTTTTCCGTACGCACGAGCACTCTACTGGGCCCCCCCCAGTCGCTTCCCCCTGCGCCCCCCTCTGACGGCTGCTATCCCCCCCTGAGACTCTGCGCAGAGAGGCTCTCTGTGGGTAGGTGCCCTGCGCATCCCCCCTCTGTGCCGCCGGAGTGCCCTGCCGCGGCCGCCGCACCGGCCTTTTCGCCGCTCCCGCACGCCTGACTCCGCCGCTTTGCTGCGGCGACGCCAAGAACCGTGTGTGTGTGTGTGTGCATGCGTGCGTGTGCATGCCTGCGTGTGTGTGTGTATGCATGCGTGTATGTGTGTGTGTGATATGTAGGCATGCGTTGCCTTGCAGCAGGCGTGGAGATAACGAAGGCAGCGTAGCCTGTCTTTGCGCCTGTGGCTGAGGGCGTGCTGCTTTCATGGCAGCCGTCCCGCCCGCTGGCTTTGTTTTTCTTTAGTTGCCATGCTTGTGTGGGTGGCTCTTCCTCTCTACCCTCTCGCGCACAATGCAGACCGCCCCTGATTCCTCAACTCGCCTCGCCGCGTGGGCAGCGTTCTTCCGCGATGCCCGTGAGTGGCGCTCGGATCTGCATGGCGCGCGTGCGAGCGAATGTGTGTGTATGCTTGTGCGTGTGTGTGCTCGTATGTGCGCGTGTGTGCTTGTATGTGCGCGTGTGTGTGTGTGTGTCTGTGTGTGTTTGTGTGCGTTTGATTGCAATTCGCACTCCCATCTGCTGCTCGCGCCGGAGGACCCTCTGCGCCGCAGGCTTCAAAAAGTATGTGTGTGTCCACATGCGTGTCAATCTGTGTGATTTTACTCGAGGGCGCAGGCGGAGCAGGCGTCGGCCCGCCCTGCCCGCGCCGGGCGGCCATGGCGGGCACCGCCGGTGGGTTGTCGGGCATGAGGGTTTTCGTAAACAACGTGGATGGTTTCCTGGCGGGTGCTATTTGCGCCGACCTCTGCAAGTTGGGGCCGAGCTTCGTCGGCACTCGCAAGGGGCGCGCAGACGAGCTGGTTCCGCCGATGGTGAGGAGGATTGTCCCGCGGGTGGAGGTGCGCCGATTGCTGAAAGCGGTTGCCGCCTGCGACGTGATCATCTACGACTTACACGACGCGGACCTGGAGGAGTTGGAGTTGGTGTTGCAGACGCTCCACTCTTCGCAGCTGCGACAGGACGTTGTCTTCATCCTCGTATCTTCCGTCGGCGTCTGGGCGAGGACACAGCGCGAGTACGAGGAGATTGTCGAAGAGCCGGCGCCAGTGGAGCCACCCGCTGCCGACACGCCTGTAGAGTCGGAGCAGCCGAAAGCAGAGCCACCACCTGCAAGGGCTCCCAAGTCGAAAAGCAAAGCCCGAACATCGCCGCCGCCAGCTGCGCCGACACCCTCGGAGCCAGCGCCTGCCGAGGATCCGGTGGCCGAGGCTGTGGTGGACGCGGAGCCAGCGGAGCCAACGCCGCCCAAGCTGCGGCCACGGCCGCTGCGGTCGGAGGACTACGTACGCCGGGTGCCGGCAGTGAAGTTCCAGGAATGGAAGGCCATCGAGGCGCAGGTGCTGGCGCTGAGGGGCAAGCCTGGCGTTTCCCCGTACGTGGTGTGCTGCGGGATCCCCTACGGTAACGGGGAAGACGCCTTTCTGGGCCTCTTCAAGTCTGCCTGGCAGACGCTGCCCACCTTGCGAGTCATAGGCGAAGGGGACAACTATTTGCCCCTGGTGCACGCCCGGGACGCTGCGCGCATGGTGCGAGAGGTTTTGGAGCGGAGGCCTCGTTTGGAATACCATCTGGCTGTCGACAGAGGCGACATGACGCAGCGTACCCTCGTCGAGTCCGTGGCTGCCGAGTTCGGCATGACCGAACCAGTCCCGTCGATCAGTGTTCCTGAGGCCCTCTTGGCAGAGCTTGCAGACATGCTCACGTTAGACTTGCGGATGCTGCCCAGCTCGCTCGTAGAGGCGGCGCCGTCGGATGTCCCTTCTGGTACGGACGCTGGGGGCACGCCGGTCGGCGGAATTGCCACAGGGCCGTCCTTCCGCTGGTGGTGCGAGCAGGGGCTGGCCGCGAATATCGGCAAGATTGCCTCCGAGTTCTGTCGCTGGCGGCGACTGTCACCGCTCCGCGTCTGCATCGCTGGGCCGCCAGGCACCGGTGCGGACGAGCTGGCGCAGCGGCTGGCGAAGCAGTACCGCGTGCCCTCCGTCGACTTCTACCAGCTGGTGGAGGAGCAGCGCCGGGCACCGACCCCGCTGGGCGCCCAGCTCGCGCAGGCGATGGACGAGATCGAGAAGGGAGTGGCGAACCCAAAGTATACAGGCTTCGTGGCGCAAGCAGGGAGGTGGCGCGATGAGGGGCGGCCTTTCAGAAAGCGCGATGGCTTCTTGCAAGACAGAGGCCGTCTTTCGAGTAAGGGATCGACTGCAGAATTGATTTTGCCCCAGACTTCATTTCCTCGTCGAATCTACGAGGAGATACGTAGCATGTTGGTAGGTACACGGGACATCTTTTTATTTTCGTAGATTCGACTGAAAAGCCAATTCTGGGGTAAACGAATTCTGTAGTCGAGCCCCTACACGAGTCTTAGAAGCCCTCCCCGCTTCAGAGAGGCCTTCTTCGGACTCCTCCGGGCCCTCCTGACACGAAAGTCTCTGCCTTGCAAGGGGCCCCCCCCCACGCCTTCTCAGAAGGCCGCCCTCGCGCCACCCCCTTGTGCGCGACGCCGTCAGCAGGTGTCTTCCACCTCCCCGCGCCTCTCGCGGCGCAGTGCGTGGAGGAGGGCCTCAGGTCCAGGCCTCGGGCCGAGATCGACTGCATAATCGATTTACCCAAGAATTGAACAATTCGTCGAGCCAACGAGAAATTCATAGAACATCCGTAGATCTACTACATTCTCAGTATCAGTTGTACAGTCGACAGCGAAGTCAGTGTTGGGATACATCCATTCTGTAGTCGATCTCCTACTCGAACTACGCAACGCCTGACATCGGAGGCGACTAGGACGAGGATACACCCGCTTCGCTCTGGGAAGGCCGCGGCGCCAGAGGCAGCTTCCAGAGCCGCCGGATCTCAGAGACTTCCGATTTATCCTATGTTATTCTCGTCCTGGCTTTGTCTTGCGACAGGCCCGCGGCCTACCGCGGCTACGTGCTCTCGGGGTACCCGCGCCAGGCCGACGACCTGCCCGAGTTCTTCTGCGAGGACGCGCCGCCGCCGCCGGCCGCGGAGGAGCCCCCGGCCTGCGAGCTGCAGGGCGAGGGCGCACCGCAGCCCGCGGAGGATCGAACACGGGACATCTTTCCAGTCAAGCGACGGTAGATCGCGCTCCCTCAGATTTCGAAGTCACCACACGGCGTGTCCATCACACCGTTGTGAACTCAAGGCGCTATGAACTCAATGGATTAATGAGTCGACTTCCGACCCCCGCCCGACGAGACAACCTACAGGTGGTGCCGCCAGGCCCTTTCTAGTTTGCTTTGGCTCCAGACCCCCGTCCGGAGATCGGCCTGTCTTGGCGGTCGATGCCCTGCCAGAGCCGACCACACCGTTTTGGGGCCTGCTGTCGCCATGGCGCGCACGTGGCTGCTTTTCCAGTCTCCTCGCGCGCGGCGCTGAAGGTCTGAGGAGGCTTTGGAGGAGGAGGAGGAGGAGGAGGTGGAGGAGTCCGTAGCCATTTTGGCTCAAGTCCGCAGCGTTTTGGCTCAGAGACTTGGCATTTGGCAAGGGGGATTTGCGGCCCCCGCAGCTTCCCAGGCTTTCAGCTTGGTCTTTCACTTTCATCACGTTCGCAGGACTGTACTGCCCCCGCCGCACCTCCTGTGCCGCGCGATGGCTCCAACCCATCCTTTCTCGTACGCTCCTTAGGTCAAATCAGATTCGAGAGTGCCAGCGTCGGGAGGGGGACCACCGAATGGCGGCAGGAAAGGCTGGCAAGCCACAGCGATGGCGTGCCCCTCGTGCGGATGCAAGAAGAATCGCATCACAGCATTATGGTGCAAGCACTGCTCCGCTCTTTTGCCTCGCCTGGGTGCAAATCCCGAACAGGCTCCCAGCGGACTGTGGGTGCAGTCGAGTCCTCCTGGCCAGTGGTACAGCCCCTACGATTCCAAGGGGTTTTGCAAGGACGGCAAGGCAGGCAAGGGCAAGGGCAAAGGCAGCAGTGAGCTGGTCTCGTGGGACTCGTCGGCTCAAGTTTCGGCTGGAGCTGAGCAGTCGGGAGGAAGTGCCCCGCCGCTTCCCGCAGGACCCGTCTCCGCTATCTCCATCGCCGAGGCGCAGCAGATGTCCGCTCTCTCTTACAAGGCGGGGGATAAGGTACGAGGAGAATCTTACACCGACGTCGCCAAGCACCTTGAGCACGCAGCACGGGTTCCTGAGATTGGCATACACCAGAAAGTCCAGCAGCAGCATGTTGCAGTGCGACGTCTTGAGAAGCGCTTGGAGTCTGAACTACCGATGCTTGGGAAATGGCGTGGAGAGGTGGTGGATTTCGGAGAACGGGGTGTTCTGGGAGCCCCCTCGGAGGGAACAACATCTCAACAACAAGCAACGCCGAAAACGAAGATGCGACGACGCAAGTTGCGGGGTCGGCATGAGGGAAGCGTTTGCTTCTGAAGGGAACGCCTCAGCATGAAGCAATTCCCGCATGCTCGGGGGGAGCATGCGGGATTCGCTTCATGGGGGGAGGCCGCGGCCCCATGAAGCGATTCCCGCATGCTCGGGGGGAGCATGCGGGATTCGCTTCATGGGGAAATGGCCGCTCAATACGACGCAATTCTAAAGGAATCAGAGGTCGGCATGTTTTTTTGTTTAAACAAAAAATAGAAAAACAAAAAAAAACCAGGTTTCGCCTGAGACTCCCTCCAAACTTTTAAATCCACTGGGCGCTGCTGCTGTGAAATTCTGAAGGAGTCTCAAGCGAAACCTCTTTTTTTTTACAAAAACCAATGAAAAATTAATGAAAATCCAGGTTTCGCTTGAGACCCCTTCAGAATTCCACAGCAGCGGCGCCCAGTGGATTGAAAAAGTTTGGAGGGAGTCTCAGGCGAAACCTGGTTTTTCGATTTTAAAAATTAAAAAAAAATAAAAAAATTTAAAAAAATTAAGAAACTTGCCGACCTCTGATTCCTCTAGAATTGTTTCGTATTGCACAGGAAATCCTTTTGTGGCGGATTACAGTTTGATTCCTTTTGTGGCGGATTGCAAAGGGAATCCTTTTGTGGCGAATTACCAAGGGAATCCTTTTGTGGCGGATTACAAATTGTTTCCTTTTGTGGCGGATTACAAATTGAAACCTTTTGTGGCGAATTACCAAGGGAATCCTTGTGGCGGGTTACAAATTGATTCCTTTTGTGGCGGATTACAAAAGGAATCCTCTTGTGGCGGGTTACAAGTTGATTCCTTTTGTGGGGACCTTGAGCGGTCTGGACCTGCGTGAAGTTCCCAAGGTTCTCAAATTTTCTATGTTATTTTTGTATAAAAAAGTATTTTCTAAAATGAAAAAGCCAAGTCTCGCTTGAAAACTTTTTTCCGAATTTTTAAATCCATGGAACTTGGCTGCTGTAAAATTCGGAGGGGGTCTCAAGCGAAACCTGTTTTTTTCATTGTTTTACATTGATTTCACACAGGAAAACACAGTTTCGTTTGAGACTCCCTGTGATTTTTACATCAGCCAAACCCAATGGATGTATAACAATCTGAGGGAGTCTCATGCGAAACCTGGTTTTATATTTTTAAAAGTAAAACTTTTACGAAACTTGCAAAAATGAAACAACCTTTGGAACCTCTCGCATTTTCAAGCCGCTAGAGATCCCTACGCAAGAAATCAAGTTGTAACCCGCCACACAAGGATTCCTTTTGTAATCCGCCACAAAAGGAATCAACTTGTAATCCGCCACAAAAGGTTTCCTTTCTGTAATCCGCCACAAAACGAATCAATTTGTAATCCGCAACAAAAAAAATCCCTTTCTCATTCGCCACAAAAGGAATCAATTTGTATTCCGCCACAAAAGGAATTAACTTGTAATCCGCCACACAAGGATTCCCTTTGTAATTCTCCAGAGAAGGATTTGCTCTGTAATCCGCCAGAAAAAGGAATCACTTTGTAATCCGCCACAAAAAGATTCCCTTTGTAATTCGCCACAAAAGGATTCCCTTTGCAATCCGCCACAAAAGGCATCAATGTATAATCCGCCGCAAAAAGAATCAATTTGTAATCCTCCCCCAAAAAAAAATGATCAGCCACAAAAAAAACCATTTGTAAACCACCACAAGTGGAATCCCTTTGTAATCCACCTCCAAAGGAATCCATGTGTGACCCGCGACAGAAGGAATCCATTTGAAATCGATAATAAGACAAATCATTATTACGAAGCGGGAGAGGAAAAAAATGACATTTTCCAAAAGGGGACATTGCTAACGCTTACCGCTGCTCACGAGATCTTCTTGAGATTATGAAAAGGGGAAATGCTGTGCATTTGTTGTGCAAATTTTTGGGCGGGCCGGAGCACGCAAATATGAGCTTCCGGATCCGAATCGGATTGGAATCCTTTGACAAAAGGACTATCTTTGAAATCTTCTACACAAGGAATTCCGATTGAAGTCCTTCACAACAAGGGATTGTATCGAAACCCTCTACACGAGGATTTTGATTGAAACCCTCTACAAAAACATGTCCATTGTATTTCACCACGAAGATTTTTTCGTGTAAAAATCATTTGCGCTCTTCTACTGAAGGAATGTGTGCCCGATCCCCCACGACAAGACTACTCCTCTGCCCCCGCCGCTCCCCTTCTATGGCGAAGGGGCTGGTGCTGGTGGATGTGTTAGTGGTTTCGGCCTTTCCTAGCACCACCACCACTCACTTCTACGAGTGTTTCTACTGATGCTGCAACAGATGCCACCACGCCTCCACCACCGCCGACTCTACTCCACAACCAAGACTACACTGCCACCGCCACCACCCGTGCTGGGCCAGGATGATGCTGGCGGTGATGATGCTGGCGGCCTTGGTGGAGGCGCCCTTCAATTCCACCACCACCGACACCTTCACATTCTACGAACGAATACTAATACTTGTACGACGGCCGAACACCACCACTCACTCCTACAACGTTTATTAGCAATGATGCTACACCACAATTGTCGCTAGAACCATTACACCACCACCAGCGGCATTCCACCGCCACCGCCGGTACCCATGCTGGGTCAGGAATGGAGGTGGCGACGGCTTTGCAAATCCTTCCAACACCACAAACACCAACATCTGTCGCCAATTCTGGGGCGGATGCAACCACCGCCAGCACATTTGTTTACACGGCCGCACATCCGACCCCACCACCACCAATACCCCTTCTGAGTAGAGGGGGTGTTGGTGGTGGTGGTTGTGGTGGTGGATGCGCCCCCTCCCACTACCACCAGCACCCCCATCGAGGGAAGTGGATGGCCAGCAGAGAGAGAGAGAGAGAGAGAGAGAGAGATACAGGGGGGTGATGGTAAAGTTGTGCAGGTGCGATAGCTTCTACGGTTGCTGCGACCACCACAACTACATCAACCACCGCCACCATCCTGCCCACTCGCCACTGCCACTACCCCTTCTTGGTCAAGTATGGCGGCCGCAGTGGTGGATGCGACGCCATCCTACCAACGCCAACACTCAAGTCCACGAGTGCCATTACTGACTGTGTAGCTACCCGCCGTCACCAGCGCCTCCATCACCGCATCCACCTCACCATCTATTCCGCTGCCACCACCACCACCCGTTCTGGGTAAGGGGGTGGCGGCGGTGGTGAAGGTAATGGTTATGGTGGTGGTGGTGCTCCCAGTGCCACCACCACCACCACTAAATTATACTAGTGCGTGTGCGGCTGGTTCCATCACCGCCGCCACCGCCATCACCTACATCACACCACCGAACTTCGTGCACATGGGGGATGGCAGTGGTGGCTGCGGTGATGGTCGAGGCGCCTCCTCCCCAATCGCCACCATCACGCCACCAACGTTTGCGAATGCGTCCACTGCTGTTGTTTGTGCCGCCACCACCTCCTCCGCCACCACCAGTGCCCCCCCCCTCCCCCCTCCCTGTCCAGCGACCAACACTGCCTGTGGCAGGCGATCGCCCCGGTAGCGCTGGAAGCGATCCCCAATTACCAGTACCGCAGCACCCGCCAATCCCCGTTAGTACTTCCACGGCTGCTTCTACCACCAACTTAGATACTACTCCACCGACTCCCCCGCGCCCTTTTGAAGTCACTGGGGGGCGGCACAATTGGTTGCGACGG